CGTCCAGTGCATTACACAGTGGGCGCAGTGACACTGACAGTCTCCGTCTTGAGGGAAAACGGGAAGTACACTTCACCGAGACTCACAAATTCCAAAGCAACCTGCATATTTGTGCACAACCCCTGACAAATCTGGTGAATTATTTGATGCCGCGTTATGATGCCAGCTGCTTCATTATTTCTATTATTGGCACTCAACAGGCTAAACTGTAACAGACACAAGGAGAGACTGGTAGCTAATAACCCATGGCCGCAACTCCTGTGGATTTATGCCGATCAATAGCTCTCCATTTCAATTAGCACTCTGTGAGCATTAAGACACAGACAGCAGAGGAGATACTATTGCTGGTAATATAATTTCATGATGCAGTTCTGAGAAAGGCTCAGATGTTGGTCGATAATGTGATGAGAACAACAGACAGAGGGTAGAAGGGTAGAGAAAGGGGAGTCATATTAAGGTGAGGAAGAGAGGGAGGGAGGAAGAAAGAAAAACCTAGCGGGGAGAAAGTAATGCTACGTTAAATGTGGTGATGGTGGTTGGGTGGTTTGGCAGTCCTGTACACAGCGCTCATGCTAATTTAACATTTTCGAATTTAATTAAGACCAAGTAATAGAGAGAGAAAATAGAGGGAAAGCGAGAGGGGGGGAGAAGAGGTGTGGAGTGGAGAGAGAAAATCATGAATCATAAATATTCAATCATTGCACTCTGGAAGGAAGTACTGTGTTTGTGTGTGTGCCCGTGTGTGTGTGTGTGTGTGTGTCTTGTTTTATAGAGCATGAGTAAAGTTTTGAAACATGACCAAGTGCTCAGTTTGGACCCTTATAACCAGGTATGTTGACTAAGAGCAGCTGGAGTCTTGGAGATGTTGTAGAGAGTCGTAATCACTCAAACTGACAGTTTCCAGTCCTGCTACAGTCCTGGACTATAGTGGATACTCAGCAGCTGCACTGGAGGTGGTATAGCCTTGCAAGCTGCTGCAGATAAACCACCTACATCTGCTTCCCTCCCTTCTCTAACCTTGCCCTGACTCACCAGTGGCACATGCCACACCGGTGGGCATGGAGCCACTGCAGGTGGGGAAAAGTGCAATATGTGAAACTAAAGTAAATTAAGGTCCACTATAGCCAAAAGAAGATTGATATCTCCATCTGTAGTAATTTATATTTGGCGGCACAGCTCTGTTCTGGGACCTCACCGCACTTCCATGTGCAAATATGGAAAGATGGAGGTGGGGAGAGCAGCAGCAAGACAGCAGCAAGACAGCAGCATACAGAACAGAGCAAGTGTCAGTGACAACAGATGTGATAAGAATTAAATTAGACGGTGGGTTTCAAAGTGGCTTGCAGATGTGCCACAACTGAGGTCTAAAGTATCATCGGCAAAGGGCCTTGAAGAAGACGTTCTCCCAAGTGTTGGCAATCAGGGAACAAAGTAAATAATCAATATAACTGATGCGCATCAGAAACACTTTAGATATTTTTCCAGAAGGTCAGTTTTGCCTTAGACCTCAGAGGGTTAAATAACAACCTATGTGGGATAACCAGCTGGATGTGTAGTAGAGCAGAGTTTCGTCATCAGTTAATGTGTGCTGGCACTGAGATCACCTGATCTGCCGGGACTGCCTGCTAAGTTTTGTTGATGCTATCCTGCTGACCTTTATTCCACTAAAATTTACACTTTCAGTGGTTAATGATTGCTTTGAGAACGGTTTGTGGGGTTTATACACAGACGTCTTCTTCTGATAGGGGCAGTGGCAGAAGAAGTTTGAGAACCGCTGCTCTGATCAACGTTGCGTTAGCAAAGATGGCACAAAATTCCAAACTCTTACTGCACAAAATGCTGTCTAGGATTTAGCGAAAAATGATGATACCGTCAGATTTTCTGAAACAGCATACTAATCCATGGTCGTGACCTGCTGGATAAGCAAGACATGGAAAGCCAATTTAGAGTCTATGATGAAAAGGGTTCATCTTTCTGGGGACAAAAAGATGGTGTTCAGTGACTGTTATCTCAATGCATCGTATAACTAATTATTTCTTGGCCACCACAGAGGGTAAATTGTCCTGCTGGTGATGTAGGGAACTATATGATCTATGACTAATTAGCAGAAATCTTTGGTCCTGCATCCAAGGAAAGAAAGTTTGGGAGGAAGACAGACTGAAAAAGAAGTCTTTTCAAGTGAGCAAAATAACCCTATCCATTATCTACATTATCTTTGACTATTCTGTGAGTACCATATCACCTCTCCTTCACCTGTACTAACAGCCAGACTGAGCCATGCATATGTGACTGACAGGCAGAAACAAAAACAAAGCTCGCTGTCTGGTTCTAGGATACTTTTTTCTCACACAGAACCTTTTTGCACGATCCCTGCCAATTAAACATGACCATTCCCTTTCATCCCTTTTCATTTAAAGCGCTCTGACTGTGACTGTTGCTGTTGCTGCGCATCTCGGCATCAGTGTACTGTCTCTATTTGTTTTTTTGTCTCTCTCTGTCTGAGTATCTGTCTCGCTGTGTCAACTCCGTATTCATTTCAAAGTACTTTAGCAGCATTAGAGCTGATAGCTGTTCTAAATGCTTATTAAAGATTAAATACTCTGCCAAACTAGAGCCATCCCACTTTCATGTGTCTTTGAAATACCGAGAATTAGGAATGGAAAGAAAAAGAAATAGAGAGAGAGAAAGGCTGCAAGCTACAATTTAATTTTTGATCCAAACCAGCAGTAACTGACGCACACTTGTGTGCTTTGGACACTTGTAGGTCACTGACTGCTTCCTGTCTGTGTGTGTGCGTGTATGTGTGTGGGTAATGCTGTGCACTCAGCTGTGCAAGCTGCCTGGGAAATGTGCCGAGTTGACAGAAACAGTAGAGTGCATGTGTGTGTGTGTGTGTGTGTGTGTGTGTGTGTGTGTGTGTGTGTGTGCAACAAGCTGCATTTGCTTCAGTCAAACTGTTGTTATATTTATAACAAGGGATAGCTTCCCTAGTCTGTACATGCTTGCCACAATGCTACTGCTGCTGCCTCTTCTGCATGTTTCTGGTTTCAGATCATCAGAACGCTTGGGATCTCTTCATCTTACATTTGACCTTGGCACAATGCGAAAACCAGCAGGCTGCACTAACTCCATTACACGCTTGTCCCCGTGCAGTGACGGTGAATTTTTTTTTTTAGCTCTTTAAAGCTGCAGTCATTCTTTTTTGGCCACTAGAGGGCAGAATCAAGCAGACACACAACCCAGGCAAATTATTGACCTATAAGGGTGTTATGTGTTTTTCTAGCAAAATCTGCCACTTTATTTGCTTTACATTACTGGATGCTGAACAATGACTCTCAAAACATAAATCAAAACAATAAGCTAAAGGGAGCCAAAGGGGGATAAATGAAGCAAAAAAACACATAGCAATTTTACTCTGGGGATTTGTGACCCATTTACATAGCATATAGTAATTTTATCCAGTATCGTATCTTTAATGTCAAGGGCATATTGACATAGATAAAAGCTCCCATCTCTGTTAAAGTGCATATGGCATGTTTTCTGTGGTTTTGCTTCCGAGATTATCAGACCAAAGCAAATGCATGACTTCTGAGTAGAAATGCTAGGTAAGTATTCCTTTTGTAAAAGATTTCCACACTTTTCCACTGAATATTTGACCCAAATACTGCCCTTTTCATTGAATTTGTATCGTATTTTCCCCGTGTACCCCAGATTATACAGTGCGTGGGAACCATTGGCAGCCAGTGTAGCTGGGCATGATTGCAGAAATCTTTGAAGGTGACTCACAGGTGCTGGAGAGAAGGCTGATTTGAATAATATAATTGGCAACAGAACAACGGTGTATCCCAATGTATGTGTGCTGCTGACATAATGCATTAACATAATCATTTAGCATGGTTTTCTGCAATGATCCTGCGCTCACTGGCTCCCTGTTGCTTCCGCCACAGTCTTTGTGTGCTCCTTCGGGAAAAATGTATTTTTCTGCACTAACATGTTAATGTCAGCAACTGTTCAGAGCTGGATGTGTGTGTGTTTTAATGCTTTGTGTAAGAGTAAAGGCAGGGGGAGATGCGAAATCCTACAGGTACATTTAAAAACTATAACAGGTTGTAGAGGGAGTGCAAAGCAAACCTGAAATTCCATTAAGCATTCTCTCCTGTTTTCTTTAAATTATCTTTTATTCCAGATGTGACTTCCTTTCCTTGAGCATTAAAAACCATAAATAATACAGAGCAATTCAGCCTCATGAAGTGCCTATATAGAAAGCTCTTAACCTCCGACCTGACTGAAGTCAGATCCAATGTGCATCGCACATATATTACCTTATATTACCTATTTTGTATTATTATTAAACCGTCTCTTTTATTGCCCCAAGTCTCAAGAGGTTCTTATCAGACTGAGAGTGTAGGTTTCCTCTCATTTGCTTCTCTACATAAGACTATTTCATGGAACCAGAGCATTTCACCGAGTATAATTATAGTGTTGGAAATGGTATATTTTTTTTGGGGGGGGGGGCTATGACCGAAGTTTGACCCTGTAATTCCCTTCTCCTCTTCCTTCTGAAACAGTCATGACTAATGCTTTAAATCTGAGGGTGAAAACATTCTCAGAGGGATGCATGGCAGGCTTTAAATGGGCGCCTGTCTCCGCGCGCGTGTGTGTGTGCTCGGGTGTGTTTGTGTGTGTAGGTGTGTGACTAACCTTTGTCATGATGATGGAATCGCAGACTGAGCTCTTCTCTTCGGCTGTGACCATACGAGCTCTCCAGATCGGCAGCCGAATAGTCGTCCAGCTTGACTTTCTTCACTAAGAAAGACCGAGGCATGATGGCTCCTACACTTGCACGACAAACACAAGCTTTTCTATCCCACTTCAGTCTAAACTCACAACCTATCAGCTGATTTTTATTTTAACCGTGTAATTTTATTTATTTATTTTAATTCAGCCACTAAAGCTACGCTTGCTGCCTTCCGTCAAACACCTTGGAAAAGTGGAGACATGGCTTTTAAAGATCAAAGAAACCGAGCTCTCCTCGTGTGCTTCTGCATGTTTACCACACATAATATTAATGTATTATTATTATTTATTTTGCGGTAGTTTGTCAAATACAGGCTATGTCTGCAAGTAATAGCCGGATCTCGTGGAGAAAGCGATCTGTTTTCATCCCGTTAACTTGCCACTGGAAGACCTGTGGAGTCCTAAAGGCTGAAAAATAAAAGAATATAAGTCAGTTTCTGTATGGCTGCTCCGTTAAAAACGTCCGTCGTGCCGTGCTTAAATCCGTTGCTTCTAAAAGAAAGATTATGGTCTCGTTCTAACAAACTGCTGGTCTTCAGCACGCGGACAGCTCCCAACAAACACTTCCTAACGTCCAGGCTCGTGCTTTCAGCACCGGACAGCTCCTCCCGTCGCGAGACTCTTCCCCCCTCTTTTTTTTTGTTTTTTTTGTTTTACACCGCGTGCCACAGCCAAACCGCTGTTGCCCCTTCAGCTCCAGAGGGAAAGGAGAGGAACAGAAAGGCGAAACGAGCAGTTTTAAAGGGGTCTTTCTGCTCAAAAGTAGCAATCCAAACACAGGTGAGTCAACGACTTGACGATTTTTGACCAAAAAACCACCCCAAACAAATAAACAAACATTTGGGTGCCGCTCAAAGAAGCGGGAAGGAGTATGGCAGCAGAGTTGCAGCGCTTGGTTAAAGGTCGGGACAGTTTAGTCCAAGAAACCTCTCGAGACCTTCGCAGGACTTCAAACCCCAGCTCGAATATCACAAACTCAGCCAAAACGTCATCACAGTTCATTTAAAATAAATACATAAAAAATAAAATAAAAATAAAATTGCTCAGATATGTTTTTAAAAGCTGCGGCTGGAAGACCAGAACAGCTCTTCTCCGGTCGCTAACTCGTTTCACTCTCTCCCCTCTCTCTTTCCTCCTCTCTCTCTCTCTCTCTCTTTCTCTCTCTCTCTCTTCTCCCCACTCCTCGCGCGTGCGGAGCTGCGGCTCTCTGTAGTGCACGGGATCAGCTGTTGCGGCTTTATAGGGCGCGAAAAGGAGGGGCCAGGGGCGGTTGG